AAAGAATTGGAGCTTCCCAACTGGGATCCAAATGGGTTGCAGGTGGACTATTGATTTTTTTCTAATTCAAAGCAACCGTCAGCCACAATCCATTTACCCCAGGTGTGCTGCAAAAATATCATCACTTCCTAAGAGTGCCCTGACCTAAAAGGGCCGGAAGTCCTGCCTGTGGCTGCAGGCCTAGCCTATCCAATCAAGGGCCGGCAAGCCACACATGGTCAGGAAGCACTTGAAGGGAGGCCAGTCCAAACTGAGATGTGCGCTAGCTGTGCAATGGAGCCCTGGTAGCGTAGTGGTTATGCATTTGACTGGTAACTGCAAGGTCAGCAGTTTGAAACCATCAGCCGCTCCATGAGAAAACAACCCACAGCCTTCTACTCCTGTAAAGAGTGACAGTCTTGGAAGCGCCCAGGGGCAGTTCTCTCCTGTCCTGTAGGCTCATTACAAGTCGGGTGGCAGTGAGTTTGATTTGTTTACCTGTAAAGTACACATTGGAGACTTGCTACCATAACAGAAATATACAATATCTTACTAGTAATTGATTGCATATTGGAAAATGGTCTAAATCTATTGAGTTAAATAAAACATTAAATTATTTCACCTTTTTAAAATTCAGCTATTAGAAAAATGTGCATTATATATGTGCCTTCCGTTTGTGGCTCCTACTCTGATTCTGTGAGACAGTGCAGCTCTGGACAGACCTAAGAGATCAAAGAAAGGACTTGGACTCTAAGTCTCACTGCATTTCAAATGTACTGGTTATGGGGTACTGGGAAAGCTCAGCCCTTAATTACCAGTACTTTGAAATCAAAACCTTCACAAGGCCCAGGATTAACAAGCTCAGTGGGAGGAAGAAATGAAGGGAGGAAGGGAAGGCCTATGGATGGGAAGGGGAAATGAAAGAAGGAAGGAAGGATCAAGCAGAAACAACATACACGGAGGGGCAGCAAAATACTAGGTGTCCATCAGACTGTAGATAGTTTGACTGGCCCTCGCAGTTAGCAGTCCCATGTGTAACCACTACACTACTAGGCTAGAAACAAAACTGAAGGGCCAGTTTAGACTCATTCCTAAGTATATGTATAAGCCCAAAGCTGCTGTAGACTGCGCGGGGCTTGAGAGGTTTTTGGTCAGAGAAACGGCACCATTAGGCAGATTCGTCTGGAAGACTAAAACGTGAATTGGTGTGAGAGAATAAGGGAGCTACTGGCATAGTCCATGCCAAAGGTGAAAGAGGCTGTAGAGGGATCAGTGGAAGTGATAATGGAGAAGCAGGACAGTCAAAGAGGCACTTGCCACCTGACTGGATGGCGTGGGCAGGGGATGAGCAGTCAGAGGTAAGTCCCTGGTTTTGCTCTGGTGAAATAGGTAATATGGGGAAAGGAAGAATCTGGGTTCACAGGAACTGTGGGCTTATAACCTGGTAGTCAGCCCTGGTGGCACAATGGAAAAGAACTCGCTTGCTAACTGAAAGGTTGCCAGTTCAAACCTATCCAGAGAGTCCTGCAGGAGAAAGATCTGATCATCTGCTTCCATAAAGAATATTGTCGAGAAAACCCGATGGAAGAGTTCTACCCTGTCACATCGGCTTGCTAGGAGTTGGAATTGGCTCCATAGCACCTGACACCACCAGCCAGCCAAGATAAGAATCCCCAAACCAACTCCACTGCCACAGAGTCCAGCTTTGACTCTGAGCAACCCTCTAGCACCCCACATAACTGCTCCAGGTCAATCCCAAATCTTTAAATCCTTATGGAAGCAGACAGCTACATCTTTCTCCATGGGGACACACAATGGGAAGGCAGATCTGATAGCAGGAGGCACCAGGATGGGATCCCAAGGCCCGCCCTGTACACTCAGCAGGAGCAAACTTGAACTCTCTCAAGTGGGCTTGCTAGGAGCTGGAATTGGCTCCATAGCATAGAGTCCCAGGTGGCACTGCCAAGCTGAACAGCAGTCAGTGCTCAATCTCAAGAGCACACTCAATGCCTTGATGACCAATGATCGTGGAGCAAAAGTGCTGGTGCAATGACTGGGGTTGGGGCAGAGAGGGGAATTGAAGCAACATAAAGAGTAACAGTCTCGGAAACCCCCAGGGGCAGTTCTGCCCTGTCCTATAGGGTTGCTATGAGTGAGCATCTCCTGGGTGACAGTGAGTTTGGAGTTTGGGGATGTTCAGGTCAGCCTGTTTTCTCTAGTAG